ATATAAGGTAGTATGAGAAAAGACACACTTTTCAGTGCATAAAAATGGAGTATATTTCAAGGACATTTTCTTCACAAGTCTGAAAACTCTCTAGTGTTGAATTTTTAAACACATTATAATAGCAACAATGAAAGTACAACTAATTGTTTCCCAGGAAAAAGGGAGAGCAAAATAATGAATTATTAAAGATTATAAAAAAGCCACACAGTTGTGATAATTTAAGAATAAATCTGCTTCTTTCAAAAATTATATTGCTTTAGTGTTAAGCTCTTACATTGGTATTTCTGGTATACTTTAGAAACAGTAGTGACTGCACATTTATGTTTTTTACATGTTTTACTTGCCACCCCACCAAAGCAACAAGATCATGTTTAAAATGTAAAATGTGATAACAGTGATGATGGCAATTATTCCCCAGACTGACTGAGAAGTAGCTTGAGCACAAATACACACATTTGGTAATAAACTATGAAGAGGATCACCTAGGTCGACTGCATTTAAAACCGTCTGTCTGGTTTATATTATCAATTTAGTACAAAGACCCTTCATCAACTACCTGCTTAAAGAAGTTACTGTATACACTGGAAGGACAAACAAAATTCACTTTTTAATGGAAATATTTTGAATTATTAAAAATATGTGAAAAATGTAGAGCCAATTATACTTAAGAGTGGGGTGAGAAGAAATGATTTGGTGTTAAGGCAACCAGACAGGTGTTTCTATAATATGTTGCTGGCAAACCTTGGCCAGCATATCAACAGTCAATGAGTTGATATAAAGTTATAACATATCTTCCAAATTTATGTCAGTGGAAACCTCAAATTATAATTTCATTACATTCCTGAGGAATCCTTCAGATCCTTCTAGAAACAAGCATTCTATTATTGACAAATTAGTAATTCTTCAATGGTAAAATAAAAAAAAAAAAAAACAGAACCATCTGGACTTTGTTTTCTGACTGAAAATTTTGAAAACTTCTGTTTTCATTTCGACCATGGCCAGCATTGTGGGGGTCTATGGGGCTCCCCAGGGAAATGTACAGAAACAAACCACACATGTGACATGTGCATTTGTGCATGTGTGTGAAGGGCCCCCAGGCTATGTGTGACACTTTAAGACAACTGATTATAATAATCAAATTTTGTGAAAGTCAATGAATATATGTTTCTTTGGCCTCAGTCACCATATGAATGGTCATTTGTTTCACGACCATTTTCATTATTATCTGAAGCCACATTATTTAGAACTGTCTGCAGAGTCAGGAAATGAACGTTCTGTCTCTAGGTAGCTCTCCATCTCATGTCAAGACAGGAGAAAAATTACTTTCCAGGAAATCAGCTATCTCTGCACTCTGATGTCAACTTTTAATGTTATAATTTTAAATGTATCAATTTTCTTTATTTTCTTTCTTTTGGAGTAATTAGGTGAAGTATAATTTATTTGGTTTGAATTAGTTTCTATCTCAGTAGACTAAATAGCTTTGATATTTTCTGCATACCTTAGTTCCTTTAAAAACTTAACATATGATTCTGCGAATCACCTTCAACTTCTCTGTTTTTTCAGACTCATGGATTGTATGTATAGCTAGTTAAGTCATATTTACTGTTGGCTATGTTTTCCTTGTGTCCTTATTAATGGCCAGGTGTGATTAATTGAAGTTGCAGAATCTTTAATGGCTTCACTAAGAACAACATAATTTTGTCATTTTCACAATTTTGTCAACTCTTACAGCACTCTGGTGCACATGGTCACTAACAGACTGAAGTGCTCTGAAGGCAAGACTCACATTGGTTTCCTTTGATGACCCCGCCACGGTCTCAGAAAAAGGCATTCAGTACTGCTGAGGAGGTGAATAAACATGAGACAGAATACGAAAGAAGAAAGAAGGGAGACTTTCCTTTTCACTGAAGTGAATATGAGATTAAAAAGCACAAAGAGGGGCCCTCTCTAGTGGCGCAGGGGTTAAGGCACGGCACCAAGAAGCTAAAGCCACTTCAGCATGAGTTTGATTCCCACCCCAGAGGTGACCCACATGGCCCGGCAGATCTCTCCTGACCCGCCCGCTGCTCCCCTCAGCAGTGTACTTCCTCAATCTGCTTGTTCTGCTCCCCACTCTGTCTCTGGTGAAACCTCTCACCACCCCTACACCTCTGGCCTACCCCAGTTCTGTATGCATAAATAAATAAATCTTTAAAAAAAAAAAGCACAAAGATAGTGACTGCCACTTACTCCTTTTTATTCCCAGTCAAATAGAGGATCATAAGGACTTAGGAGCAGATAGACAGCGCACGAGAGGACATTGCTTTCACCTGTCTTCATAACAGACAATTCACTAAATTCACTACACTTAAAATGACCCGAAGGAGGGACTGTGGCATGCCATTTTGTTCATTTTACAAATTTAAACATCCAGTTAAAAAAAAAAATGAAACGTAATCAGTCGTCTTTCTTTTAAAAGAAATAATTCCTTGGTTTAGGGTGTAGTAGATTACTTTACTTTTCTAAGCCACACGGAACTCATTCTATGAAAACAAACATGTCTATACGGTACACAGGTGAAGACCTACCTGTACAAAGAGGACATTTATTTCTTTGATATATTGGTGAAAGTGACCAGAGAGTATACGGGTCAGTATCATAACTTTTCTTCAATGAGAAGCACCTGTTGACACATGCGGAGCCATACAGTTTTGGTAAGAACAAAAGTAGGAGAATGTGATCTCCCTTCCAGAAATAAAACCTCACCACTGTTGGAATGAAGTGCTACGTGCAAGGGAGGAATGAATCAGAGGAAGCAAGACCAGAGGCTTCAATAAAGACAGCTCATCCACCCTGCCTCTATTTCTTGAGAAACGATTTTTCCAGGGGGTAATAAAACAATGGAGTAAAGGAGCTGGGAAGCTGTTTTTGTTTGTTTTTTTTTTTCCCCCCCGTAAGTCCCAAATAAATCGCATGTCACGTGGGACAGTCATGAGAAACTAGCACAAAACCACCATATGTATTTGGTTTCCAAAGACGTGGTGAGGTTACAACCCTGATGCAACAGACCTGGCTGGGTACAGCGGCTGATACCAAGATCTCCATTGTGCCCCGGCTGAAGACACTAGCAACAGCAGTCACTGTCACTGGTAGGCACAGGTGGGCTTAGGAGTTTCTTGGGCTCAGACAGAGCAAGCGGGCGTCCATCTGGGCATTTTTATTTCTGTTCCGACTCTAGGATCCCCAAAGAAGACGAGTCAGTGATTGACTGAGTTTACCTCAAGGGGAACTCCAAGTAGATTTCAGCAAAGCAATTTTCTTCTGTGAGCTTATGAAAACACCACGTTAGCACCATTTCCCTCCAGAAAGCTCAGTCCAAGATTGTAGAAGTTGTTTGTGCTGCTCCCCCTCTAAATGACTTGCAAATTTATTCAAACACAATATGAGGAGATGCTTTATTTGTTGAAATAACGGTCTGCTGTGTCCTGCACAAAAGGGTGAGGTACATCAAGCAGAAACAGGGACAGAAATACATTGGTTTAGAAACCCATAAATCCTTATTTGAATCTGCCAACCTGAAAGCCACTCGGAGCCTGAATAAACTATTTTTCCTAAATGCTACATCTGATTAAGCCATACCCTTAAATGACAGCTGAACTTTAACATTAATATGATATTATTTAAATATCCACATGATATTTTTTACACTAAAAATGATGAATGATTTCTGGACAGCTCAAGTGACATAAAGCAGAAGGACTCTTTAATGAGACTTGACAAAACGGAGACACACGCAGAATATTCGTTACAGCTCACATCGCCGGGGCCCTCCCAGGAAAGCAAGAGAGGTTCCCCCCATTTTTTCTTTTTTATTGTCTATAGGCACTGAAGCATTCCTTTCAATTGCCACCTCTCTCTTGCGTGGATTTTGAGTTTTTCTAGGTCATTTGCATATGACTGTTGATCAGAGACTCTGGCTCTGAATTGGAACTGGACTCCCAGGAAAGGGCAAAGAACGTAGCATGAAGTGACCACAGGCTGCAAGTGTGCCTGGAACACTGGCTGGCTACTGACCAAACTAATAGAAATCGCATTGACCTCGAAGACTAAGCTACTGCACATCTAATTGGGTCCTAGGCAATCTCTAACCTGGCAACTACACTTACAGCAAATTCTTATGAATGGATACACATATGATCGCAGCATCAATGACAATGAACTTTTACTTTCAAATTCCAATTAGGCTATTCTAGAGATGATTTTCAACAAACTTCATTCACACTTGTATTCACAGTTCCAGACTGAAGACTATACACTAGATGATGCTCTTATTTGTAGGTTCTCAGTGTAAAATAATCTCCTGAGGACCATACCTAAGTAAAAAATGACCCCAGTTTTCAGAAGAATGAAAATATTCTTATTCCCTCCAAAAAATACTCCAAAACACAGAATATAGACTATTACCTATACTCATTCATTTTTCACATACTCTCCTGAATGTTTTCCACCAAAGGTTAGTTACACACAGAAAACATTAGCATTTGTTTGTTCACACATACAAATTCAGCATTTGAGGTAATATTTCAATTTTAAAAATCACCTTAAAGGATGCACAAATACAAAATGTTGCCCCAAACAGCGGCGCTTAACAGAGAAATAAAAACACGACCAGAGACAGCAAAGCCTGTATTCCTCCTGTAAGAAGAGGCTATCGAAACAGAAACGAAAATCAGTCTGTTCCTGCCATGGGGCCTTCCTCAGGCTATGAAAAAATACCCTAATATTTTCCATAGCTTGAGGTAACCCCCCTAGCTCAAGCCTTCCCTCTAATCTAAGTTACTCAGAATGTGTCTCTGTCCAAACAAGAGTTAATGTCAGTGCTCTGTCATTTCAAAAGGGTCTTGACTCAGGGCACTAAGAACAGAGGCTCACAAGCTTGGAAAATACCCAGATGCAATGAGATGAAAAACATAGTTTTAAAAAAGGGAGCAAGAGAGAAAGACAGGTCCCTACCTTCTTACCTTCGCAACATCCCTGTCAGAACTCTCGAGCTTTTGCCCAAGTTAGCGTCTGTTTCCCGCAGCTAGAAGGAGAAAAGGAGCATTAGAACCAAAAAATTTCATGCAACTGGATTGATTTTAAAGTGCACTGGCAAGCAATACTCTTCCTTCATGATGTAGAAAATCTAATTCTTAAAAAATGCTCAAATATACCAAAGGATATTTTGGACACTTACAAAAACTCCCAAAAGTCTTAGTTTCAGAAACATGCATTAGATAATTGCAGGAGTTTTAAATTGGATATTTGAACTGGATATAAAAACACATGTATTATAGGCTGACAAAGTTTATTAATATTTATATCTGGTAATTAAACTGCAATATATGAACATGTAAAATCCTAGAACTATAAATGGAAACAAATGAAGTGAGGGAGATGAGACAACAGTATTTTCACAGCTTTCACTCTGAAAGACTTGACAGACTCCAAAATCTCCCTCAAAGACCTTCTGAGTTAAAGAGCTAAATAAAATACCTCCCTCAGGGCATTCCCAGATGCTGACACAAAGAGACAGCTTAGTCCTTCTCCATTCCAAGCACTTCTTCCCCCTCCAAGACTACATCTTTCTTCCATCCCAGCCATATACACATGAACTTCCAGCAGCATAATTGTCTATGCTTGCCCAAAGATCCTTTATTTATGTCTTATTTACTGAATTTGTGGAAAAGATGGCGTCCCTTTTACTTACCCGTTCACGTGCTCGCTGTATCTTTTCTCTGTCATGACTGAGATTTTCCAACATTTCTTGGCCAATTTGTTCTGTGGAAGAGAAAAGTTGAGACAACTTTGGGCACAAAGTGAGACTAACCTTCAGAAGAACTAAAATGACAATAGTGAAGGATTAATGTTTGAGCAGTGTACATATTTCAACTCATGTACTTGAAAAATTATTTTAAAAGCATTTGGTAAATTTACCTATTTGTCTCAGGGGTGGTTATATGTGACTTATAACTCAACCTGTAGGGTATGACCCGCATGGCAAGAATGATTTCAAGATGCTATGACTTGCCCAAGGCCACCTCAGCATATTATCTACCCAGAAAGAGACACCAGACCCAGTAGCCTTTCTATTATTTTGTCATCATGGAAGTTAGCCTTCACAGGTTGTGAATAATGTCAATGACTTTAGCCTTCCCTAACACTGCTTTGCATACGTAAGTCAAACTGTATTTAGAACAATATAAATAACCTCATATCTAACTACAGCAGGTTGTCGGGAGTGGAACTATCTTTAGGTTTCTGCCCTCTTGGAGCAAGGACTCATTTAACATGTTCTTATTAGAGTCAGGGTGACATGGATAAGTTGTTGAAAACTCCAGTTGGAGACAAAAATTCTAAACATTTATACCTGCACAGTCAGGTTAAGACATTCACGGCTGGGTTCCAGTGAGGTTTTCCCTGTGGTATCATCCCACTGGGTTGGTACTAGAAAGACTGCCCTCTGCCCTCTGACCATAGGTCCTTTTACAAATAGCTGCCTTGAATAAATTTTTCTTCAAGAGGCATTCTCCACCTCCTGAAACAAGATATATTCGGTAACAGGAAGATGCCACTCTGCCTTGTGGAATCTTGGCACCAGTCTGATATCCTTGTTACAGGTGTTCCCATCTCCCCACAGGGTCTTACTTCTTTTTCCATAACCTGTAGCAGTTATCATTTCTGGTTTGTAAACTTATAGAAACAGTTAACAAGCATCATTTTACTTGCTATTAATAATAGCAATAATTCTGCTATTACTTAATTTTGCTATAAATATTGCTATTAATAATAGCAATAATTACTCATAGAAAGCAATTTAATAAAATTATTAAGAGATGTATGCATCCTAAAAACGATTTAGAGGGATGTCCTAAAACCTATATTGAGATCCTAGACTGTGGAGTCATTCTGCTTGAGCCCCAGTTCCAGGGCTGATGCTTACCAGCTGTGTGGCCTTCCATACGTCACTTAACTTCATTGTCTTAGTTTATCTATCTCTACCATGGGTATAAGAATAGGTCTCTATCATATGGGGTTGTTGTAGGGTTAAATAAGATATAATTCAGTTAAAATATTCAGCACAGGGCCCTCCCTGTGGTGCAGCAAGTCAAAGCACAGCACTACGAAGCTAAATCCACTTCAGCATGAGTTCGATCCCCATCCCGGAGGTGACTCACATGGTGTGGCTCTCCTGACTTGCCCACTGCTCCCATAAGCAGTGTATTTCATCAGCCTTCCTGTTCTGCTCTAGTGAATCCTCTCACTGCCCCTGTACCTCTGTCCTGTATGCATAAATAAATCTTAAAAACAAACAAACAAAAAAACAACTCAGCACAGTAACTGACCTGTATAATAAGCACTCAGTGAATGGTAACAATTGATATATATGTGTGTTTGTGTGTATATCTGTCTCTACCTAAAAATCCAAAGGCTTCATAACTTCAACGCCACCCCCACCACCCTCCATCCTAGGACTGTTGTCATAACCCATTTGAACTGCCATTTTATTGACAGGACAAAGTATCTGTCCCACCTCGCTTATAAAACTGTTGTTACCATCAGGTAAGATAACCTACGTGAAATATTTTGAATGCTACTGGGTACCATACAAATGCATGAACCATTTCATTAGGAAATAAGTAACACTGTCAGTTTGCTTTTCTTGAATAATGTAAGTCAAGGTGTGATGCTCACTAAAAAGACCAACAAAGACATAGGCCTGAACCAGTGGCAGATGTAATGTGCTGAGTGTAGCAATTCCAGTTCTTCAGGCTTTCGTAGAATGTTCAGAATAGGGCTCTCTATACAGTCTCTACTGAAATATTTTGAGAAATCATAAATTTTGTAAATACTGCATTTGATGACAATGAAGATCTTCTTGACATTAAGACACAATGGGAAGCATGAAGGAAAATCAAAACGGGGTCTGGATGGTGGAATTCTACCTGTCAGTGTGAGCATAATGAATGAATTCCTGGAATGGAAAGTTCCTTCCTGTACTTCTTCTATCCTTTCCACAGGGATCCTGGGAATCATCAAGGGAGTACAACATTCAACTTATAAAGTGAGCTTTTGTTTTCACAATTACCCAGAATGAATCATGTCCTTGACCTATGGCCCTGTTTATTGGGTCACAAACTGCAAAACAACTTAGGCTAACATTTCCTCTCCTTTTCAATATATCGGGAGGGGGCCGGAATGTACAATAGGCATTCAACACTTTCCTGCCCCATGAAGGAATGGAGGAGCAGCCAGAGAACTGCAATCTAGCAAGAAACTTCCTGAAGGACTGGCCTGGCATGACAAAAGATAAGACTAATCCCAGCAGAACCCAGTTCTAAGAAATGCTAAAGGAAATTCTGCAGGCTCAAGGGATTTGAATCCATAGAAGTTAAATCAAATAATATCAACATAAACAGAAAATACAACATATCAAAGTCACAAAAACAAGGATGAAGAGGAGGTAAATAAAAGTTGATCATTAATTGGTGTTTAGATTCTATTTGCCAGAGTGGAATATTCAAGGAAGATCATGACAGGTAAGGGATGAAAACTGAAAATCCCTGAACAGCTCTGTCCAATGTAGTACCAACAGCCACACGCACTATTAAAATTTAAATTATTTGAAATTCAGTAAAGTTGAAAATTTGGTTCCTTGAGATTATTAATCACATTTCAAGTGCTCAGTACTCTCATGTGGTTACTGGCTACTGTATTGGAGAATACAGAAACACCATCTCCAGAAAGATCTCCATGTTTCTCTTGCCTTTAAGATACACTTAAAAAAAAAAAAAAAAACCTCAGTATTCATTTGAGATTTCATTAGGTAAATCACTTCTTTTTCTGGGCCTCAGTTTCTTTAAACATAAAATGACAGTCCTTTAGACTTCAGCATCCTTTCTGGCTCTAACATATAAAGACTCAAAACATTTATAAAAATTTAATGCCTAACTTAAAATAAGGTTATAAGTCAATGTTACACTAATGGAATATTTTAAAAAAAGAAAAAAAAAAGTGTCATTTTGAAATTCAGAAAGAAAAACCTCTAATGCCTTTTTTTCCTTATAGGGCCACTTAAGCAAACATGACCCAGGGGTCCACCCCAGCTGGCTACTGTGTTGCCACCTCTTGCCCTGCTCCCTAAGACCACGCTGCAAACAGCAAGAAACCAGCAACTCAAACTTCAATGCTTTTAAGCCCAAGTCTCCAACACTGGACTACTTCCTACAGGAGGCTGCTTGGCTTCTGAAGGTATTTATGTTACTATGTGCTATGCAGAATTTCCAAGCATTTCCATGAAGGCATTATAGAAAAGCATGCATTCAAATAAACTGGTGGTTAAGCTTCTGCATTCTTAGCAGGAATGTAACAAAACAGAGTGCATGGCTGAGGTTTCTTTTCCCCTTTAAAGCAATTATGATTTAACACTACCTCCTCAGCAGGTGAGGATGTATTCTATTTTGCTTTATGATGATCAAATCTATCATTAAGCAATTAAAAATCATCAGTGCTACTTTCATCAAAGTCATAGTAGCAGAACCTCCCCTTAGTTACCTGGTTTGCTGCAGATAATTAACAAACACTATTCCCAGAGCCCTCAGACATCAGTCAATGAAGCTGTGCTACCAATAATGATGCTCTGGAATGAGCAGGTACTATGTAAATTGAGGTTGTTAAACAAAAGGAACCATGTTAATTACAGCTTCATTCAAAAACTGGAATGAATCTATTCTATTTTGCGAAAGACCACAGCAGCAGGAAGGACATCCCTTTTTCACAATTCAATAAAGAATGTAAAAGCCAGGAGATGAAGCAGCAGAAAACCTGAATGGACAAAATTGTCAAGACACATTCCCAAGGCTCACTTGTGGAATTTACCAAACACGTATTTACTGAACAGACAAGAGAGACGTGTTCGGCATCACCCAGATCTCCGAGCTGAATGAATGACTCATTCTAAAAAAAACAAAAAGTGCTGTAAACTATTGACTATGGACAGAAAAGTAATTACAAAGCCTTTTTAGAAATCGTGGGGAGAGTTAATCGCTATCTATACTCTTTGTCAACTACACATATTCTATCACTGATTGTGAAATGTTTGATTCTGCTTATTCAGAAGTCACCATCGCATGGACAGCTGAATGTATGTAGCTAGCAAACACATTTTGCTTTCTATGAAACCCTATTTTAAGCATTTCTGAAGGGGCTGGCAACAGCAAAAGTTTTAGTAGGAGATTTCATATAAAAAAATAGACTTTGGCTTTTTAAAAAAATTCTGAATATCTGGCAACACTGAGTCCCACCTGCACAGGATAAACACAGGTTGTCTTGAGCCAGTCTGGTTGCCTGTTCAGGAGAGCCTGGCTTTGGCCTGTTTCACCCCTTATCTCTTATGTTCCCCGCTTTGCTGTAGTAGGAACTGAGCTTATGTCTCCTTGCTTATATGTCCTTTCTTCCCCCATCAGAATGTAAACTGCTTTAAAAAATTTTTTATTTATTTATGCTTACAAAACTGGGGTGCAGGCCAGAGGTGCAAGAGTGGTGGGATTCACCAGAGACAGAGTGGGGAGCAGATTGACAAAGTGCAATGCTGAGGGGAACGGCAGGTGGGTCAGGAGAGGTCTGCTGTGCCATGTGGGTCACCTCCCAGGCGGGGATTGAACTGGTGCTGCAGTGTATTTGGAGAGCTTCATAATGCGGTGCTTTAACCCGTTATGCCACCTGGGAGAGCCGTAAACTACTTTTTTTTAAAAAAAGATTTATTTATTTATGCATACAAG